AACTACATGTCCATTGATCTGACGGTATACGTTCAAAACACAGGCTACAAACATGTATATAACATGAGCAATAATGAATGCAAATGCAAGTTCGGTGCCCTCTGTTTGTGTCATGCACGAGGAATTAAGTTGCTTTGAGCAACGACGTTTCATCTCCGATGTCGAAGGGTGCCAAGTGGCAAGAGTACAAACACCTTCTTTATCAAACCACACCACCACCACCACCACCACCATCATCATCATCATCATACCACGTACACAAACACGACCAACAAAGAATGAAACAAACTGCTCATGACAACTTTTGGGGACTCAATCTTTGAGCGCGTGGCAGTCAGTTGTGCATGTCATCAGTCTCTGCTAAAACACTATCTATTATACTATGATACATATTTGCGTGTGATAGTGTTGGCCTGATAAAACGATGTTGACACGCGGAGTTTGAAAGGCACACGGCAAAAGTGGTCGGCATTCGAGATTCTGTGATTGGCAGTGATGCACCAATTCAAACTAGCTTTGCAGCGATCCCAGCTGAACTTGAAACTGAGGGAAGCTCCTCCTCTTTTGCAACTACTCAGTTCAACAAGGCAGCTTGACCTAAAGCTGAGATTTGGGGGCTCTTGCAAGAACTGTTCTGTTTATGAACAGTTAGCCGTGGAAGCAAGGTGGCGACAATGAATGTCTTGGAGGCGATGGAGCAAATTCCCGAAACGACCGTTCTTACAGAATGATGGCTTTGCCGCTGCTCAGCAATTTCCGACATTTCTTTTTCTCTTTTTGCGAAACACCGACTAATTGAAGTAACTACATCAAATGCACCTTGATGCCAAGCAGCAGTCACCAACTCGACCTTGATGATCGCAGCCAGGTGGAAGCTCATCATGTACACCTTGTTGGGCCAGCCTACTCTGCCTCAAGACTGATTATGCTCAAGCACAGAGCGCCCGTGCCTTCTGCCATGGGTTGATGTCTCCATACGTCTCTACAGGCTTGCTGAGCTGCTTTTGTACCTGCAGATGTTATGCAAGCGGAAGGATTTCGGGTTAGGCAATTGGCTCTACGAGGCCTTTCTCAAATCTATTGTTTGGGCGGGCAACAATTTTTGCTTATTCATTTAAGCAAAGCTTAATAGGCTACATTGAATTGCTTCTCGCTGACTGACAGTGCTCAAGCCACAGATTAAAATGTATATAATTGTCCAGCACCTTGTGCACCAGATCCTGCTCCTCAAAATGAGACAAGACCTGCATATGACTGGGAGCATTGGTGACATACACTCATACGGGGTTGTCAATAAACGAGGAAAGGCCATGAAAGGACATATAATTCATTCGTTGACTCGGCACATACAGGTTGGTGTGGTCAAGCATTCACTAGCATTTGTCCGACTGTCTAGCCTCGTCCAAAGGCTGGTCCAGCTCCATTACCTTAAATTGGCATCGGAACTCGCTGGGCTAGTGACATAGGAGTTGTGGGCCACTGTGATTACGAAATCAGTCAGTAGACAAGGTTGCCACGTGTAGTACACTTAGGAGTCAAAGCTTCATGACTTAGGAACGCCCCCTGAGTTTTTCCAACTATGGCTTCTTGCTGCCCTAGTCTGTATATGTGTATATATATATATGTGTGTGTGTGTGACTTTTTGCCATGTGGCTTCTGGTGACATACTCCTAGGTCATGTGTGGTTTAATGTTCCATTTACCTTATATTTACATCCACAGCAGCATCTGAAGGAATGTGACTCATGTGTCACCTATTTTTTTTCAAGCGGCCAATCTGTACTCAAAGACTCGGTGAAGTGGATCTCTTTTGATTTCCATCCTGTATGAGTCCTGGCGATCATCAAATGGATGCATTTCAATCATCATTGTTCGGTAGAATCACGTGCCACTGTCGGCCTGCTGCCAAAGGACTTCAAAGCCTTCACTCAGGATCATCTCCTGTCCAAGGGCCAAGGATGAGCACAACATACAGTTGATGAATTACAAAAACCACAAAGCCGAAAGGTTTGCAGAATCTGTCTGTTGCAATGGTTGTTTTTTGTGCCGCCTTTGCTCTCGGCGGTTTTCCCACTACCACTTAAGCCCCAACGCGTCTTGCAAAGTACGCATGTCCGAATGTCCAAGTTTTACTGACCGTCTTGCTATGCCTTGCGGCACTTCTAGGTGCACCTTGGCCAAATCATATTGGCCCAAGCTCCGCTGCAACTTTCCTTATCGGAACAGCAAAAGGAGCTGCGCTTACAACCAAAACCTTTTGGTTTTTGATGCAGCTGAGTATCTATAAGTCGTGCTTCCTTTAAGTTCTTGCTGGGCAGGAGGGTTGAGACGATTCAACCATGTTGACATTGCTTCATCTGCTGAATCCTGGCAGGTGAGGAAGGAGCAGTGGTCAAAAGGATCACGTTCAAAAAAGTGACCCCACTATTATGCTGTCAAGGTGGGGTCAGGGCAGGGGTCCAAAAGCTGCTTAAACACACCGTGTTGCTGAAGCAAACTGTGCTTAACTGAAGTGCCAAAATCAAAAGCAAAGCACTGGTTTGACCTGAGGCTTGTTCTAGTGTGGGCAGTTTGGAAGAACAGGCCCCCTTATCAGTGTCAGGTGCACCTAATATATTGCTTTAGATAAAGCGTAGTCTGTGTGCACACTGGCCTGCCTGCCAATTGAGGCCTCCAAAGATTCCAAAAGAACAACTTCACCGCAGGGTGGAACTTTACCTTTGCTTCGAAGCTGCCGTCTGGCAATCTCTCCGGCTCTGGCCGTCGCGTTGCCAACCCTTTCTACTGGGTTTCGAAGCTGCCGTCTGGAGGGCGTGGCGAGGCACGCCTCTGGCTGTGGCCTTTGCCAACCTGGTTTGCTGGGTTTCGATGTCTCCAGCCACATTTGCGCGCAGAACAACATGGGCTAAGGGCGTGGCGAGGCACGCCTTCCACGTATGCTTGGATGTTGACATCAGTTCAGGGCATGTGGGTGCACCAGGGCGTCACCAGGGCGTCAGCCCATTCTATTAAAGCCCATCGGGCAATGAGGCGGGATGATAGAAGCCAGGCTGCCAAGTCAAATTCCCGCAAGTACTTCTCCACGTCCTTAGTTTCTCACATCTTCTTGCATCCCTGGTTCACATACTTTGGCATGAGCCAGTGACGATGCTAGGTTTTAATGGACTCTGATGACTGTCCCAAAGGCCATATTGGTGAGGCTTTCTAAATCTCCAAGACACAGCCATTGCTTCCTTCACATTGTGGCCAAATAACTCTGAAGCCTCAAAATCAAACATGCTGGGCAGCATGGGCTGTACCAAAGCGTGCCCATTTGGATTGAAACCGGGGAAGTGGGAAGCTTCGAACTGCGTAGCCAGGTTTGCACAAAATTCAATCTTCTTATGCCAACTCATGCAGTCTGAAGCATGTCTCAAGACATGTTGCTGGATGTTACGACATGTTGCTAGAGGCTCCTGGCCTTACTACTAGGAGCAAGAAGCTACTAGGGGCTCCTGGCATCGCTACTAGGAGCAAGGACGCTGCTGGGTGTTACTCTGAGCAAAATGATGCACAAAGAGTGGCCACGTCCAGTGCCACGGGGCTTGCCTGCATCAATTTACTTTCGGAGTCACAATTCTCACTCACCTGTCGGTGCCAGGAAATTGTACAAACGAAGCAAGCACTGCCAAAATATGAAGAAACCAACCCCAACATGCTTTCGAACTCAATTTAAACCAACTATTTACTGGAAAGGGAAAGCTTGTCAATATATCTAAAATATGCCTTCTCTTTGATGCATTGAGCTTATATAAGTCAATTTGTTGAAAAACAAACAGCCTCATTTAGTAATTGATTGCAATTACATCAGCACACTCATGGAAGTATGCTGATTACTTATCTGACCAGGCCACAAGCCTGTGTCAAACACAAACCATGTCAAACTTGGTGCGGTTATCAAACATTTCACCCAACAAACCACCCACCTTTCCGTAGCTCTTGTCACACCGGATGTTGGAGTCGATGGTGCCTTGGCCCTCAGAACGCAAAAAAGGAAGGATGAAACATAAAGAAAAACTGCGAACTGTACCTAGCCTAGCGCTACAATGAAAGCTTCTTGCAGCCCCAGCAGGGAAACAAATGGCCGAAATCGTACACAACTATGCAGAATCACCATAATAATAGTAATAAAAATATACATGCAAGTATGGCAACCACTTTCTCAAGAAGCAACCTCCCTTCTGACAGATTCCATGACTTCCATGCTGCCTTTCCCTATTCCCTTGGCCAAAAATTAGGTGTGCCTTGTGCCCCTCCGATTCAATGTTGGAAATCTCGACATAATCCTCGTAGCTGGCCTATCGCTGACGAACACTTTCGGAATTTTAGTACAGTAAGAGAGGGATGGCCAGCATTTTGGACTTGACACTCTATAAGAAAGTCAAAAATGGTGACACATCCTGCCTGGCAGCAGGCCACTTGTCCCATGGTGCTACGAGTTCCGCAGCTTGGGCCAAAATGAGCTACTTGTACGACTATGCCACGAAACGGAAACGGTTTCTTCAATGCGCATCCTCCTAGAGTTTCTAACAAATTCCATCATCTTGGTCGCTGTAGCATCTTTATCGAGTCGTTGGCTCCACACCCGGCCCAAACTACGACATGCTTTGAGAGCTTCCCTAGGAAAGGGGACTTCTTTGGAACAGCATATGTGTTTGAGGGCCCGGAGATTGCAAAGGTTCTTGCCAGATTGTCTTGCAACGAAGGGGGTAGAGCGGGAGCGGGTGAGTCATGGCTAGCTGGGCTGCTGCAACATGCTGGTTTCCCTGTTTTGACCAGAAAGCTTGCTTTGTGGTGGTCTTAAGGCCTTTCAACTGAGGGTCACATGACATCCAATTCTGCATAGTCTGTCTTGAGGATGCTTGGGGTTGTACACCTGAAGCCTGACGACTCTAGAGATGTACACGGGCGACTTGAGCAATCAGCAAGGCAAATGTCCAAATAGACAGGTATGTCTTTCGGTTTTCTCCAGCCAAAGCGGCAACTGTACACGCTCAAACACGGGACCTGACTCTTAAAGTTCAGGGAGCCAAGTGTTTGTACTCTTCAGCTCGAGTGGGACAATTGTGGGACAAGATCTTGCAACGCGGTGCTTTAGCGGACTTTCGATAGCCCGCATGAACATCATGTTTGACAAGTCTTGCCCAATTCCCGAAGTAGCTGGATGCTATAGTCATCGCCGTTGAATTTGTCATAGTTTGTCGCCTGAAGAAGCATGAAATTGACATCTGTTCCTGGCGACTTAAAAAGACTGGAACACATGTCTTGACTAAATGTTCAAAAGTGTCGCGGTGGGTCAGCATGGGTGTGCGTGCTCGCTGGGTTCACTTGAACACTTCCGGCCCAAACCCAGCAATGCATGTCAGACTCGCCTCTGTTGAAAAGGTCGCTCACCCAATCTCACAAGTCACACAAGCAGGTCCACTTATGTGAGATATCCTGCTGAGGAGTGGCCCTGTCTACGATTTTGGCCAAGCACCTGTACACAATGCGGATGCTATAGCATCAGTCATCTGGCGTGAGAAACTCCTCCACCGATGTGCGCAGGCTGAGTCGCAGTCAAAACTGCCATTGCCACCTACTGGCCAAAGAACTGTTAGCCGACAGAATTTGTTTCATTCCCTTGGCTGGAAAACGCGGCGTCAATGCCTTTGCGCACAAACAGCAGTGCACAGTTTTCGCCTTACCTCCTCGTCGGGGGTCAGCCTTGCCCGACACACACACACACACTAGAGATAGGGCATACGAAAGCCAGCGGCCGCCGACCTCCAAAACCTCACCAGCCTCAGATCTACTATGGAATGTGACTACTCTACGTCACACAAAGCAGGTACATCAATCCAGCAGCCCGGATCGATTTCACACTGGCGCCTTCTTTGGTGCCAGGCCAGTGCGCATCCCTGGCACCCCCGGCCGAAAAGTAAAAAAAACAATCAAAAGAACAACAAAAGGACCCCTGGGATTCCAAGGCCGACACACACTCTGACATTGGTTTTCAGTTAACTCAATTGCCACGTTGGGAAGGAAGGTGAAGAACGGTAAGGTGAAGAGTCCGCAAAACTTGTAGATGTTTGAACAAAATGGTTTGAAGTCTGCAGAGAGCACGAAAACGAAGCGCTCACGAAAACGCGCGGCTCAGTTGCAAGAACGCGGTGGGAAGGTTTAGGGGGAGTATCATGAAGAACCATGAAAACAAACAAGGTCAATTGGACAGCTTGTTCAACCGTTAAAGCAGGTACACATCCATGGCCAGTGGATGCTTCCCTCTCTGATGCCTAGCTTCGTTGGACAGAGTAGCATCAGAGAGCTCTGTCCCCCTGCTTTAAATTAAACTAGACCCTTGGAAACAGGGTTTGACACACACACGGTGCCGCTTCGCGGCGCGCATGTGAAAGACCTGAATAGTCACCTAAAAAGCCTTAGAAACAAAAGAAAAGAAAGACAGAAAGAGCAGCGCTAAGAGGGCAAGAAAGAAAGGTAGGTGTAGAAAAAGTGAATGCTTAGCCCTTGACTGGGGTAGGGAAACGAGCCTCAAGAGCAACCTAAAACGCCTGAAAGAAAGCCCAACAAGCGACGAAAAGCGCAAGAAGGAAAGCGGGGGGGGCAGGGAGGGGCTGTGTACATGTGTGTGTCTGAATACCTAGCACTCTAGAGTTACTGATTACTTAGCAGAGATGAATTAAGTGCAATAGCTAGGGAGCGGGACTTTAGTCTTAGACCGCCCGGGTAGGATAGACTAGAACAGGAAAGGCACCGACACACAAGTGTGTCGAGTACCATTTCCCTATGTTGCCCTAAATAGGTAGGGAGTAGAACTCGGCTGGGGGGGGATTGGGAAATCTGCCTCATTGCGGGTGGATTACCGTTTTATAGCCCGGCGGCTCTGGATTCGGTGGTTGAGATTGTCTGTTTTTTGGTCCGGCGGCTCAAAAATCCGTTAATTCAGTTATGAAAGTGAAGAAGCAAAGGGTCAGTTATAAATATGAAGGACCAGTGAATTCCGGAATGGTTTCGGCGCCTCCTTTCGGAGGGTCACACCCAGCACCCAAGTGGGAAGACTGAGCGGCTCACACTCTGACATTGGTTTTCAGTTAACTCACTTGCCACGTTGGGAAGGAAGGTGAAGAACGGTAAGGTGAAGAGTCCGCAAAACTTGTAGATGTTTGAACAAAATGGTTTGAAGTCTGCAGGGAGCACGAAAACGAAACGCTCACGAAAACACGCGGCTCAGTTGCAAGAACACGGTGGGAAGGTTTAGGGGGAGTATCATGAAGAACCATGAAAACAAACAAGGTCAATTGGACAGCTTGTTCAACCGTTAAAGCAGGTACACATCCATGGCCAGTGGATGCTTCCCTCTCTGATGCCTAGCTTCGTTGGACAGAGTAGCATCAGAGAGCTCTGTCCCCCTGCTTTAAAATAAATTAGACCCTTGGAAACAGGGTTTGACACACACACACACACACTGCAGGGTGGTTAAGGGATCAGCAAAATCAAGGTGCATACTATATGACCACTACCTTAGACCACCTCCATGTCCCACCAACCTTGATAAAATTAGAACCTATTAAAACTAATTTGGGGTGGGTACACCCACTCCACCCCATATTCAAGTGAGACAGTGTCATACTGCTGAATTGATTTCCACCTATCCTCATCGATTTTTCAAGCGACAATTGACATGAGTCTACGGTAGACCCACCCTCAATCAGGAAATTAATTGAGGTTTGGGTCACTCAAGCACTGAAAACTAAGTGACAACCACCCTACACATACCTGTGAATTAATCGCGTGAATTAATTTCTAGGCAAAAGTAATTCACAAAAATGAATCCATACAGTCACTCCACCCCTCAAATATTTCCTAAGGTAGTGCCCATCATACTATGGGTGTTTCGTGGGCACACTAAAACTCGAAGAAGTTGTCGGGTTGTCGCAACAACAACAATAGCAACAACATGTACTATAACTATAATAAATACAAAAATATTTACATAACGAAACTTAAGAGGCTCACGTTTTTGGCTGTGCACCTGAGGTGGTCTTGAACCCAAATTACGACATTCGATCGGTGGAGCCGGGGACAACGGAAATGGCACTAGGGGCGATCGAGCTTGGGAAGACCAAAACACATGGCTGCAATGCGTGTTCCGCATGATGTTATTGTGTATTCTCACAGTCCCCTGATGCTCAAGCCCGCTCGTCTCCTCACCTTCTCAGAGCTGAAGCTCTTCAAAGACAATCTTGTAGCGGGAGCTCAATTGACCAGCGTATATATAGCAGCACCTCGCTGTCTTCCAAGCCTTTCCGCAAAGAATGTGTTTCCATGTCACTCCGCTTCTCCGCGCCCTTCACCAACATCTGCAGGAACTTTTTGCGCTCCAGAGTTTGGATCCTGAGAATCTACCTCCTGTCATCTCACACCAAGAACCCCGAGGTAAAAGGTGCAACAAGTCGTCGCCGTCTTCTCCGTCTAAAGTGTGCAAGCTGGTGACCTGCAAACTCTTTAACCCTGTTGGCCCAAGCTGCAAAACTGTCCTATGCACGTGGGGTTCTTCTGTCCCTGGAATGCATGTATTCTTTGTCTGTCCACTTCTTTACACTGCGAACCATCTAGTTCGTCTTGAACACGTCTGCGACTGTACTGGCCGGGGTTGAAGGCACAAGAAAATTCACACCAACTGCATAGAAGACGCATCTCTCCTGCTAGCCACGACAAACTTTCCAACGCTCGCTGAGAGTTTGCCTTGACGACTTCGATCTCATGAGATTGATATTTCTTCGAAGTCAGCCATGCACCTTGTTTGTTTCAAGCGGACGCTACAATCCTTCCTCCACTCTGCACCACTCAAAGGCATCCTGCCTCCACCCACCCCAGCCCACCCCTGGCTTTTTTGCTTCAATCGAAGTCATCTACATGTCAATGTCCGCGAACATGGTTCTCTTGTGAGCCTCAGGTGCTTGAACTAACCCGCACGCGGCCTTCGTCAACAGCATGGGCGTGTCCTTCTCCATTCCAACTTCTTTCCTGATCTCTGGAAGCGGCCTGCGCCGCAACAGTATTTTTCCTCTCCTTGTAGAAATCGTAGATGTGGTCTGCTGACGTCACTTCTCTGAGCAAATTTCTTCCACGCACAAAGTTGGAAACAGAGATGTCTTCCAGCCATACTTGGGTCTTGGTTATCCACGTGCAATAGCTCTTGCATGGGCCTTCTTGCTTGCCTCAACTTGCTGTTCTTCGACTGACTTGCAACGTGCGCTTCTTCTGAATTGTTGCAAAACTTCTTCCATCCCCATTTGCTCTCAGGAAGGGAAAATTCAACTTCAACTGCCCAGCTGAAAATTTTGTTCTTGCTCTGCTGAGAATTGCAAGAAGACCATTCAAGATCACAAACGCAGGCGCCAGGTGTGGTCGAGCCCAGCATTGTCTGCGCGCAGACGAAATGCGCGCTTCTTCGTAAAGCTTCGCCGCCGCTTTTGGCCTAAATGCCGCCCTCTCTCTCTCTCCCTCCCTCCCTCCCTCCCTCCCTCCCTCCCTCCTCACCCCGTTCCTCTTCTCTTCTCTTCTCGCAAGCTTCTGGCCTCAAGTTTTGGGGTCTACCCCCTTCTCGTTTGAAGCAGCTGATCACCTGTGGGGACCTCTCCTGTAATGTCATTGAACACACACCTCTTCGCGTCCCTCTCAATATGATTGAATGCCCAAGGCAACCCCACTGGCCCAGAAAGTTTCTATCAGCACGCCTTCGTCAGTGGATACTTGTTGAGGCCCGCTTGGGAACGTACTTGGGGCCGGCATGGTCACCAACACCACCTCTGGACGGGTCAAGTGACAACACTGAACATAGCTTGGGTGTTGGCTCAACACCGATCTTACCTTCTCCCAGCCGTTGGGCCAGTCGTTGAGCCTTGGTCACTAGAGATGCCACCGTGTCTGTTGCTGAGAAGCTGATGTTGTTCTCCTTCAAGTAGGGCTGAAGACCTTTCTTCTTGGTGTGACGGCGCACGTCCACCAGTTCGTCTGACATCTGAAAACTGACCTGGTGTTTCTGCCCAAAAAGCTTTGATCTGAACAAGAGTCCGCTCCAGTGGAACGTTGGCTCCCTCGTCCCGCGGCTTCTCCACCCGCTGTGCCTTCATGGCCGGCAACAGCGTGATGGCAAAGTCACTCTTGGGACTCTTGGGCTCAAGAGTGCAGCAGGCTTGATTTTTCAAGCTGATTGCCAGCTTTGCAGTGCCCTCCACTTCTTTCACCAACCCCACGATGCACCTCTTCTGGTATTCAATTCCCATCAAGCAAACAGACCAGGAGACCTATCATACTTTGGTACGACACCTCCCCGTCCGGGAGATGGCTTCTCAATAAGTCTTCACTACGTGGTTCCAATGACCACAACACACCGCCACAAGCCTTACGACCAGGTTCAGGCTTCCATGAAAACTCAAGTGGCCCGCGTTTCAGGCTATGCACCTGAGGGGGGTCTTGAACCTAAATCTTGACATTCGATCCACGGAACTGAGGACAATGGAAATTGCATATAATTACAGTAGTAACTCTGATCCTTTGCTAGTCTTTGGGCCATGTTGTTGGATAGTGTTGGATAAATGCTCTTTTTGCAAGTTCAGTGTGACCTCGTTCTTGCTCCTGTGTTTATATCAGTTGAACCCTTCATGTCCTTTGTCCTTTCTTCCTGCCTGCGTCTTTTCTCCACTTTCATTCATGTTGAGCCCTTTTTGGTTCAAGCAGAAATGAATGGTGATTGCCGCCCTGGATTGCCCGGGGCAAAGAAACCGGTGATGTCTCTCCATTCTCCCCTTTGCACTGAGCAACTCAACCATTTCTATGAGGTGAGGGCACTGAGACTAGGTCGTTGAAGGAACAGGGTCCACTGCTGATCCTTCTGCTTGCGATGTAGCCTAAAGACTCTAACTCGCGTTTGCAATGCACAATGATGTGCAACTTTTCTGCCACAGGTTTCAGTTCAAGTTGGACAAAGGTTTTTTGGATCTACCTTCTACGGCAAATCGGGCTCCTTCTGGCCTTTGGTCGATCGGGTGGGGCATCGCACTCTGGAGCTCCTGCAACTGTCTATGTTTCTTGCCATTTTGTGTAAAAAGAGCTTCTCATCAAGCGCCAAAAAGGCATGCACTATCCTTTAGCATGCTTGACGCTGACACATCTGACACCGAAGGAGCTTGTAACTTGACCTGTTTCAAACATGAGCGCCTGCACGGTCTCCGCACGTCCAGGAAGCGGTGCCATGAGCGGCATAGCGTGGACCACTTGGTCCACTTGCTGGCGCCTGGGTGGCTGTTTTCCGTTGTCGACCGGACTGACATCACTGAGAGCCTGATGTGACCCAGCCTCAACAAGGGAATTTTCAGGAAACCAGCTTGTGGCAGAACTTCCAACATGGCGGCCATAAAGCCAACCTGGCTTGCACGTGCAGGATGAGTGAATACGTATTTATATACTGTATAGTTATAACTATATAGATGTAAATACGCAGCGAGTCATGCAGAATCCGCCACAACATGCACAAGCGGGTCCCAGCCTCTGCTTGCTGCAAAGATTTCCATAACACTTGCGCGCTCGGCCTAGTGTAGGAATTTATAGTCAGGCATTGGGAGTCCAACAACTGTTGAAGTTGATGGCAGTGAGGCAGCGAGATGCAGCAATGTACATATTACAATATAATTGTATATCATGAATATCGGTATATGTATACATTGTAAATAAAGCATAGTAAAGCTATATAGAGGCACGAGCGTGCTCGTGCTACTGAGCTTCACTGAGCCAAATCAAGAGCCAGCCTGCTTGCTGGGAAGTGTCACCAGCAGCCCTTTCGGCGGAGGTACCAACGGTGGTGAAATTGGCTGTGGCGGCAGCGGTTTTGCACCAAGACCGGTGCCTGTGAAGTGCAAAAGCTATTCTTGGGTATTCAGCTCTTTTGGCCGCACAGTGGTGTACGTGGAAGTGGCTTTGCACGAAGAAGAAGAAGAAAAAGAAGAAGAAGTCCGAGCTTCGCAACGAGCTTATGTATGTGTATGCTATATGTATACACGTGTGCTTATGTTTGCATTTTGCTTTGTTCTTCTATTTCGTTCGTTCGGAATGGAGGCCACGAACCGTCTTGGAGGAATCGAGAAATGCGTCATATACAGCATGCTATACACACATGATCACACATGCCAGGCCTAGCTCTTCCACATAACTCTTTGGAATAAAGCCCACAAGGTCAAAGTCCCTGGCAGTGTGTCCATAAAGCCAAGCATTATCAACTTCTGCTTCCACCTGCGTGCTTGCTTGGGCCCTGCGTGGGCCAACAAATTACATGGAAACAGCGCGACACTGTGCGGCTATGAGTGGCTGTAAAAACCAACATCCCAAAACCTGCAGGGATCAACGCCAACACAAGCTCGGACAATTCTGACAATGGTCACCTGCTTTGCAATATGATATAACTAAACAATGTTTTTTAATATATAGTGATATTGATAAACGGCGTGCCACAGTTCCACATAGTTCAACAACGTTCCATATGTCAATGCTGCGCATATGGCGTTCACATATCACAAATCAACCGTGTCCTGCCATGTCTAGGCGTGAAACCAAGTGAAGCACTCAGCCTGAACCAAATCTCCTTCCAGCAAGTCCAGCGCAGTGCCCTTCAGCTCGCGGCCATCGAATGAACAAGCGACACGAACAACATAACCTTGGGAGACAGACCACGCCGGGCTCGAGTGGTTCAAAAGCAGCTCGATCAGAAACTGAAAAATTACTTCACCACCTCTACTGATTCCAATCAGTTGATGCATTTTCTGATGGCAATGGTGCACGCAATTCCAAGCTATCCAAGCTACTTTTCCACTTCCACTCGGGAGATTCAGCATCAACTTGCCTTAACATGGCAATCCCAATTGCCACAGGGTGGTAGCACATGCCAAATATGGTGACCACCCTGTTGCTATGTTGCCATAGCTCAATTGTCAATTTGCTGTTGGCCAAAGGCCGAAATGACATTATGTTGGACATTGTGACAAGACCATGCTACGTCATCCTAGATGATCCTAGATCGTTGCCTGCAATTCCAGAATCTGAAACATCCTGTTCAGCTGGCCGAGACCACAGGAACATAAAGCATCAAAGTCAAGATAGCGGCCTTGACGACACAGCACCATCAAAGTTGCACTCTGCCAAATGCCGACGCCTGTTCAATTTTTGAGACGGTCAAGAACAGATCGGAAACAGCACCAGGAAATTGCACAATGGTGAGGCTTCCAAGCAAACTACCACTGGACATTACACAAGGCCGCGGAATTGCAGTGTCCAGGCCATGGTATGAATGCTTGAATATTGCTAACCCCGACAAGAGAGCATGCACGTACAGCACTACTTCAGCTGTCTTGAACATTCTACCATGAGAAACTTAAGGAAAGCAACTTGGTTGAGTCCAGCCGAAATGGTCAGCTTGCCTGACAAAACAAACTGCAAAGGTTTGTTCTTTCTAAGTTGCGCCGTCATGAACTGAATGCGCCTCATTCTGAAGAAAAAGAATGTGCAAACACCTGCCTGAGCCGAGTAAGAGTCAAAACAAACAGTGCCACTGAGTAACCACAATTTGTCCCTGCATGTCCAGTTCAGCTGACATGCGTAGTAATATCTCTCTACATATATATATATACAGTATCTACATATATTGTGATTTTTGTCAAGTGGCATCTTTTCTGGAACGATTTCACACAATTCTGACTTCCCAATCCTTGGGGTGAGACGGGCTTGGCATCGGGCAACTTCCAACACTAACACTGCGTCGCTTGTCCAACCGATCTACTCGAAGTATCTTTCTGCGAAGTTGTGCCATGTATCCCTCTAACTGCCCAACCTGGCCAACCCCCGAAGGTTGGAACAAGTTGCCACAAGTCAATCTATTTCCCGTTGGAAATATTAATGATGAAATCGTAGAACACAATTTCCTGGAGCACAAACAAATGCATGACACTGTAGGATTTGTTGAAGAAGCTTTAACTTGTTCAAGGGGGTCTCAAATGCCTCAAGGCCTTCGGCCACAGACAGTGAAACGCATTCAAAGGGAGGGCAAGGCAGGATGAATCACAATTGAATCGAATCAAGGTTTTGTAGCTGACAATGCCGTTCATTCCTGCAATTCTCTCCCTTTGCTGCTACGACATTCGGGACTTGTCTCTCGCCAGTCTTGCATGTGCTTTCAAACCAACGCTCTCGGAAGCGTCCAAGATGTCAAGCCACTCTCCTAATATGATACAGCAACGGGGCTGCATGACAAAGGCCTCTTGGATCCTTTTGGTAGAGTTTTAGGTTGGCACAAACGGGAGGTAGAATTGCATCAAAGGTTGGGGCCAGCAAGGTGCCAAAGCGCAGCTCCATGAGTTACAAAACGCTTCAGCTGTCATAAAGATGTTGCACCCATATGACGCATCATCAGGGGTTGAAACTGGATTGTTTCAGCATGCCACCACACTTTGCACTGAAGAAAATCACTTCCGGGTAGCAAGGTGAGTAGCTTTGCCATGCTTCCCCCCCCCACCACATCCCACCGGCGAGAACTGCGCTCCTCGTGTCGCAGGAACCGGCGGCCGGTTTCATCCCGGTGAGCTGTCCAACCTGGAGACGGTGTGCAATAGTGGACATAATGGACATAGGAAATGCAGAAAATAAGCAACATGAAAGAAAGATTCTTAGAACATGATAGAACTGCAGAACCCAACGACAGCCATCATCACAACCATGCTTTTGTCAGTGCTTGCGCGTACCTGCTGGGATTTGCTGTGCACGACGGAGCCGTTTTGCCAAAGCTGCACACTTAGCATGCTTCACATCGACGCGATCCGCAGACTGAGCTGCGCGATCTACACGGTGCCGCACCTGCATTGGCCGATCTGAATGCATAAATGCTTATCATATATATAATACATATTGTACTAATGTACAATATATGTATATGTAAATGTGGTTGACAAATGGTCCCTGGTTCTTGGATGTTGCTAGGCCTCGAAAGAAAGATTACACTTCTTCTGCACTTCAGCAGAAGAATAATGTTTGGGGTTCTAAGGTCTATGCAGTCAAACCTATTGATCATGACCTATCATGCTTGGACACTAAAATTCCTGCCTCCAGATTAGAGTATGATTTCTCATCATTTCTACTCGTTTTGCAAACCCGGCCTTCCGCTGGATGCGATCTGCTTCTCTGCTGAGATATTCCATCTGCTTGGCCACCAACAACATCAAGCGATTGGTGGCAGACGTAGTGGTGGAAATCCCCAGCGCCCACCTTATTATTGTCCAAAAACTTATTGCAAAGGCGCTTTGCAAAACTCAGCCACTGCGTTGGCTTCGAAACCTTCCCAAGGAACCTGGAGGTTCGTTCAATCAGCCGCTCAGCACTCGCAGGATCCATGCCACGCTTCACCAAGAAGTCCGCATCAACTCGGACATCTTTCTCTGCACGCGCCAAGTCCTGAACGGCCAAAGGATCGGCACACATGATCATGAAGGCATATCAAGGCATGTGCATGTTCTCCTGAAATGCTCTTACAATGCTCTCAAAAGAAACAGGAACCTAACCGACTTTATACATTTGTCTGCACCTGCTTTTTGAATCAGGGCAAGTAGGACCTCTCAAAGGGCTGGGACTTCCACAAACTCAGAGGCACAGCAATGCACGGCATCATCATAGCAATCGCGATCTCTTGGCTTCACAAACTGCTGAGCATATCTTCGGTCCTCCCGAGTGCACAAACGCCTGTCCGTCTTCATCTGCATCAATTTCCTGAGCAAGTCTTGGAAATGCACACTCGTACACACTACATTACAGAAATCAGCTCCCGTACTTCGTTTCTGCATGTCTATATACCAATCCAATAGGTAGGCATCTTGTAACACAGTTGCTTGATATATACTGTTTCCTGATGATGTAGTGTGAGCCTAACTCGTGACCTATGGTGAACACAAAGCCTCATATTGCGCCAACTGCACATCTCTTGGCATTTGATGTGTTTGTGATCCAAGTTGCTTCACATGCGCAGGATCCAAGTCCTCCGCGAGCATCTTTAGCAAGTCATCATCTGGGACGCTCTTCATGGAGCCTTCGTAAGAGCGCTGATGCCATAGATTCTTCATGACCTTCGCGAAGCCGTGCTGAAACTTACAGCTTGGCTAGCCAGCTAGCCATTCCAAATTAAAATAATTAGTTTTAACGAAGCCAAGGAAGGCAAAAACTGCGGACTACGGTGCCAGTGCCAATATATTATCATGATTATTCCTCTTGTTTTCTCCTTCGTTTGCGGTGTGTTCATCTATTCCGTTGAGTTGTCACTTTGTGGCCGGAAACAAGGGTGCGAATGGGCGGCATCTCTCCAGCTAAGTTGCTGCCCAGATTTGCCGAGGCAGTCCAATTCCTGGTTCACCCAGAGCCTGACGAACCTCCAAAAACAGCTGCAGCACTGCTGCAGTCAGCACCTTCACAGCACAAGCACGAATCGAGTATTGTCGGAATTGTCCGCTTGTTCTGCACATGAGTTTGTCTGCTTGGTTACCTTTCACTTTCAGCTCAAATCATGATTCATGCGGCAGCAAGCACAACCTTTGGCACAATCGATGCAAAAATCTGAATGACATGCTGCAATGCCGCAATGCTGTATTATGTGCGAACTTCCAAATGGCTCAACTGCATCCAAATCAAACTCGGCACTGTGTTGGAAATCTCAAAAGCCCCACAGGCTTGGTCTGACAGAATGACTTCATCTGGTTTCCTTCCTTCCTTTCCTGTCATGAGAAAATATGAGAAGTTTGATTTTGTGAGGGGTGTGTGAGCAGTAGCTGCACTCGGCTAGCCTAATGGTTGTTCTTGCGTCGTTGTCGTGTCAGCACATTGCTGGACATTAAGGTACATTGCTCAAAGGCCCTCACCGCCACATTGCTACTTTGTGACATTTCCAGGGTTCCATAAAAACGAGCGGATAGAGAGCACCAGCTCCAAGCTAGCATCAAAACTTAGTGAAAACGTATGGATCTATATATGAGTCAGCTTGGCACCTTTAACTTAAAGCCTTTCAGCATATTCAACTTTATTCCGGCCTTTGAGAGCACCACGGTGGTGGTAAGGAAGAAGCTCCACCACCAAATCATCGCTAACACGGGCGCTACATTTTTCCTAGGATTTTCACATGATGCACTGAGTCTCGGCTGGCATCTGAGAACAAACACCAAGCCAGAAATATGATAGATGGAGGAAGACGAAGAAGCTATGGTCTGGTAGTTGCCTGACAAAAACAAATCTCTGAGCAAGGCGTCAAGGCGGCATAGTCGAACTCCCCCAAAAGCACTTGGGTTAATGTAATGATAGATCCTCCGAAGGTGGACCTAAGAACGTCTATTCAGCTGGTGAGCAAACCGAGCAGCAGCAAATGAACCATGTGATTCAAAATTCAAGGTGCGATCCACGATCAATGGCAAGGGGCCACTCCAGCACCTGCTCGCCAAAGAGGATGTAGCCACTAAGGGCAAAGTTGCCGCAGACCACCAAAAAGACAACCTGAGTGTGTATCATAAAGAGTCAAAGTATCGAAAATGTCGACTGTGTCCCTTGTGCTCCGCTACTCTTCCCTAGCTGCTACTGTAGCCCTGGCTGCCTCTCTGTTTCAAGTCAGTGCGTCAAGCGGCCAAATAGTGAAGAAATAGGTTGGACATGTACATCACTGACTGCAAAATCACAGCCGTGCGGGGCTGTCCAGTAAATCCACGGTAGAAACGCAAGCAAAGACACACCTTACAGAGGCAAATAAAAGGCATAAGCAAAAATGCGCGCAGGCTCTGTTCTATCACATCCCCTCCAAAAAGAAACCAAGTCCAATTGGCACACTCTTCAAATCATCTGCAGTTTTGGGGAGTTGTTGCTCTGAGGTGCCGCATACCAAGCCGTCATGTAGCGCAGCCACATGCTCAGACTCAGGACGTTGTCCACTGCGTCCAGAAGCTTCGCACACTGCGCGGGCCAAAGAGGAAAGTCTTAACAATAAATTATCTTCAACAGTCTATAGACCATGTTGTGCAGCCAAAAGCAGTAAGAAAGTGCAACTAGTTGTTCTGTCCTGTCCGCGGAACTGCCGATTCTCCAAAATGCTCTGCACTTTTCGTGAATCTGGAGCCGCGAGGACCGAGAAGCTTGGCAGGTTGCCCAGCTCAGAGATCATCGAAGTGAAGAACTCTGTGCTCACGACAAAGGCAATCGCCATGAAAACAATAACCTCAAAGCGAAATCAAGAGTGACTGGGACGACGACAACGACAACAACAACTACGACTACGACTACGACTACCACTACCACTACCACTACCACTACACTTACCACTACCACTACCACTACCTACTACTACTACTGCTACTACTACTACCACCACTGCTACGACCACCACCACCACCACCACCACGACCACGACGACGACGACGACGACGACGACGACGACGACGACGACGACGTCTACGACTACTACGACTACTACGACTACTACGACTACGGCGACGACGACGACT